CGCAGTTTGTGTAGTCTGACGAGCCCCAAACAATAGGAGTCAGCGGACGTAAAACAAATGCGAGCTCACCCTAGGTTGTCCCGGAGAGATATGACTCACTCCCAATGATGCCAACCCAAGGAGGGGCATTATCCTTAGATTGACCCTCGAAAAATGCCTAGATAGCGAGAAAAATCTCTAGATTTTATTTTAATGTCATTATTACGGCTAAATAACTTTTAACGAATTATTAAGATAGTGTGCTCTGGGGCCAGGTTTTTCTGAATTGTTGCTGCTGCTGCTGCTGCTGCTGCTGCTGATGATGATGATGATGATGATAGCTGTCGTGCTGCCTAGCCCATGACACCATGACCCTATGATTGACGGTAACTGATACATCGAGGTCGCAAGTCTCTCGTAACGTAGTTGGCATTGTCGTTAAGCTGCATAGATCGGTCACTGAGCAAAACTTGTCGAAATAGGTGCTAGCCGTGCCTTGGTAGATGTCTTGACGTTCATTTCAGAAATTCGTAAGTAGAGAATTTGTCGCCTATTGGTTAAGCGAACAAGACTCCGGGCCGCGCAAATTCCTTTGTTCAAAAACAACCTTACGTTTCCGTCCGCTATTTCTTCGCGCTCATGAATGCTTCGTTCTCGACAAGCACCATTTTACTCCAGCGTGAAGCCACGGTGACGTCATCGTCAACAACGCGTAGAGCTGTGAGGCGTCGCTTCTGCGATTCGTCGACCGACATGGCATGTTCTGTCGATGTTACACTGGACCGACGCAGGTTAATAATGGTGGTGTTAGCTTATAGGAAATCCGTCCCTAACATGAGCTTCCTCGAACCTGTCGGCAGTTCAATTAAATCAGCAACGTACGTAAAGCGCCTCATTTCTAGCCTTGCGGTGCACCTTCCAAGAGCCCACTGATGTGGCCACCTGCCATACGTATCTGCGATCCGGTTCTTTTGTCACAACGTTTTTCAGCTTCTTCGCCATTTTTTTAAATATTACCGAATAATAAGCGCCGGTGTCAACTAAGGCATTCCGCTCGTATCCGTCTATTTTCAACCGCAAATCTAGTAATATCTTCGCTGATGTTCTCATCTGCTTGAAACATCGCGTCATTTTTCTGGAACCATAAGGGAGGATCTTTGTAACGGCGGTAATCTGCGGCCCCATCTCCACAGGCCAGCTGTTTCAGTTTTCCGCGAGTGTGCTTGGAGAATGACGCCCAGACAACGAAGATGGACGTGGGCTGGATGATCAGGGCTGCATGGGTGACGGTGATCTGTGCCGATGTTGGCGTGGGTCAAGCAGACGCTGACGAATGAACAAATGCTGTTCGATCTTTGCTAACCTGCTGGCCATTCTCCGTTTCGATGGCATGGGGCATACAAGGGAATGCCCCTTAACGCAGCCTGTCGGCAAGGGCAGAACATGTACAGGGGACCAGCTTCTCCACAATGAAAGCAGAAAAGCCTACGCTCATTGTCACGCCAAACGTCACTTTTCCGGGGCCTTCGCTCCCCATAGTGAGCTGCGCTATGTTCTGGAGGCAGGTACAGCGGACGAGGTGCACTACGTGCTGTGGCGTGCGAGGAGTCGCCATTGCAACTTCAGCATTGCTGTATACCACCGGTTGCTTGAGTACGTCAGAATACGTTGGGATGCGTCGAACAGGCTGTGGCTCACGCTCCGGCTCCCGTATGACCTACCTGAGATCGCCCCGCACAACGTCGATGACCGATAGTGCAGATGTAATTGGAGGTGCTTGCAACTTACTGAGCTCTTCTCTGATTACTGATTTGATGGGCTCTCGCAAGGCTTTGTTGTAATTCTTCAAGCCTTCAGAGTAGACATTGGAGGGTGCACAACTTATGTCCCGGTTGTATTGCCGAGACCACTGGTCCCAGTGTTCTTTCAATGTGTGTCGCTTCCGAATGGAGCTCGACAACTGTGCAAGGTGGGTTGCGGACAAGGACCGCGAATAGCTCTTGCTTCACGCCGCGCATGAAATGGCACCACTTCTTACCTTCGCTCATGTTGGGAACCGAACGTTTGAATTGGCGGATCATGTCCTCGATGTACATCGCCACACTGCCTCTGTTTGCGGGGTTCACTTGAGGTTATTATGATTGCTATCAAGAAGAAACACGCCTTGCATGTGCCGCCCTAAAGTAACGTTGTAAGGATGGCCGCAACCTATGCCATCAAACTATACGCCTATGTATCACACTTGGGTGATTCCTAATGTAACTTCTGGGATTGTTTTATTACTGTATTCATCTATTCGAGCTACGTCATTGTTATGGCGAGAACCTGTTTGTTTCTGCAGAATAAGCAGTATCATCATTGTCATCTCGATTTCTATGACCTCGTTGTTTGTGTTTAAAGAAAATGAGCAAAGCGCAAATCACCGTTATATGCATTATACGCTAGTACTGAAAAATTGCTGTGTTTCCCCACTTTCTATTTCCCTGTACGATTTCAGTGTGCTAGGTTATCTGCGAAACTCATTCTTTTTCAGTGAAACTAACAAAGCGCTCGTTGTTACATAACATTTCACTTCATTCACCATACCTTCTTCATCTCGCAAACTTTTGTCAAAAGAAAAGGTATGAAATTTGCGACCTACAAGACTACCTTAACATTACCCGCGTTATGACGCAGCGAACAACGCACCCATCAAGCTTGTAGATTTCTCAGGCGTTCCTGAATGTACTAATACAGCCGGAAGAGGGCTAGAAAACGACGTCAAATAAAAACGAGGCTGACTAAGGAAAACACAAGAATATGTGAACAAAGAACGAGAACAAAAAAAAAACAGTAATGTTGAAGCATTTTTTTTTTACGTGGACCATACCGATCACACGTCCACTCTTTGTTTCTGATGGCGATTTTCTAATTATGCTCATACAGGTTCAGTTGATTTTTGCTTGCATAACCCGTAAAATAGTCTGAAAAAAAGTTCGGCAGATCCCACTTGCATTGGGAATCGATGTTATGCAATGCATGCGGAGGGAATGTAACTGTCAAATTCCACCCAAGTCCTAAGGTTCATATTCAAAAAGGGTGTAGCAGTCCGGAGGGCTAATCGCTGTTGAGCAACGGTGGGTTCGGACAACGAGGCGGCATTCGACGTTATGGACCTTAGAGCCTATAGCTTCGCCCACTCGTCGTCGTTCACTTCGTGGAGATGCACTGATTTTTCTTAACGCTCGCGAGTTAAAATTACTAATTTCTGTTCGCACGTCTCCTTGGTTGATATCGACTGAAGCAGGACTGATAGTTGGGCTAGTTGGTGATACATTATGGGCAGTATTAGCGCACAAACTCACGGGACGAAGAAAAGAACACTCCGGAACCTTCATGAGCAGCACGTACGCGAATTTGCCTTCGCACTGCCACACGTGTGGATGCAGGCCCTTGTTCAATGAAACGACAGTGCTCTTCAAACATAGCGATCAGATCACAAGAGAACTAGTGGAAGCATTCTATATCAAAAAAGGAGGGAAGTCCTGCTTCAGTCAGACATTAATTTCTTTACATGAAAAAAATGAATAATAATCAGTAGCATGTTTGTTTGAATGTAGTATGCCGCGCCTGCGCAGTTACCCGTAGCGCAAAATTGTTATTGACGTCGACACGATCCTTCGCTGGCCCTCTGCGCATGTTCTGTGCGTTTTTATCTTATGTGTTCCGTTAACTTGTATTGTTCAATAAATTCTTCGGTTGAGAGCAGTGCCTGATTGTGTTTCTTTTCTTCGTCCATTGAGTTTGTGCGCTGGTACTGCCCATAATTGATATCAACTGTCAATCCCCCTCAGTAGATTGAGCTTAACTACAGTTGTTCATAACCAGACGTGACGGCTGTATCGCAGGGATACATATGTTATGCTTACAAATTGGACAGCCATCACGGCATTCGCAATTGACGCTTCACGAACATTACGCATTATAATAAATAGCACGAAGAAAAAAACGCTGCCACGGATCTACAGTAAAATGCTTCGTTGCCGCGCAGAATGCAGCGGTTTGATTCCTGCTGAGACCCTCAGATTTTTTCTTTACATTCGCGTCAGCACAGTCGATGTCAGCCTTTTCTTTAACGTTCACGTGATAAAATTACCCATGCATGTTTTCACCGTTCCTGGGTATATGTGAACTGTCAATCATCAATGGCACATAGGCTAATACCAGCTACACACACCCGCCCACGGGTATGTGCCACTTTCTGGCGGAAGATGTTTGACGACGTACGGGACGAGATTGTGACATTGTTCATGACGTGACCAGCGATTCGTAGCAGGTAAACCATCTTACCCTCAATAACTAATTTTGGTTTAACCCAAGTAAGGGGGTGATCACGAGAGCAGCCAGACGTGGCTAGATAGATAGATAGATAGATAGATAGATAGATAGATAGATAGATAGATAGATAGATAGATAGATAGATAGATAGATAGATAGATAGATGGATGGATGGATGGATGGATGGATGGATGGATGGATGGATGGATGGATGGATGGATGGATGGATGGATGGATGGATGGATGGATGGATGGATGGATGGATGGATGGATGGATGGATGGATGGATGGATAGATAGATAGATAGATAGATAGATAGATAGATAGATAGATAGATAGATAGATAGATAGATAGATAGATAGATAGATAGATAGATAGATAGATAGATAGATAGATAGATAGATAGATAACAGTACGAAGGTGCTTTCAGTGCGAAAAGAAATGCCTCGCCTTGAAAGCGGGAATGCTGACGGACATTTTGAAGTATGCTAGCCCGGAAATAATCCGACTGACTGCCCTGCGCTTGGGGAATTGGGAATGGGTTTAATAGGAGAAAAGGACACTATGCATGCGCGCGCATGAACAGTCCAACATTGTTTGGCCTGTCGCTTCACATAAGGGCCTTCCGCTTCACATAAGGCATTGGACTGGCCTGTTCTTGCATTCACAGTGACAGCGTAGTTGATGAACCTCGTGCACTCACCTCTCATCACACTCACAGTGACTGAGTGTGTGCAGCCGGTAGTTGAACAGGTGAAACCTCCTCTGGAATGCCTCGATGGTGTAAGGGCAGTGGTCGTGTTCGCGGCAGCAGCGGTCCACCCTCGAGTTGGGCCCCAGCTCGTTTAGCTTTCGCGCTGAACTTCCCGAGCCACACCAATTGGTGCCCGGGTACATGAGCAGATCCCTGCGACGCCTCGAAGGCCCCTTCTGCAGCCTGGTACACGCACGCCTCATGCGACGCCATTCGAGCGGCGACCGTAGATGCTGCAGACGCACGCCTTTGCACGGGTCCGTTGCATTTCCTCGGCACTGCAAGTGCGCGCCGACCTCTTGGTAGAAGCGCCCCAACGCCTGGGCGTCACGCTGCAGCTCACACTCGGTGATATGGTTGTTGCGGAGCACGGCGCGAAGCAGGCGGCGGCCGTCCGACACTTGCCGGAGTAGCACTGATTTAGCGGGCCCCCAGCTGTCAAGAAGCGTGAGTGAGCCCGCGTTCAAATGTACGGCCGCCGCTAGGGCGGCCAGCAGCAGCAGCCGTCTCATGAACCGCAGCCTGCGGGGTCCCAGACACGCATGACTGGAGGGAGGACCCGATCCCATTTATCCCCAAGGGGGAGGGAAGCACCCCTCTCCCGGGCTCCCTCTCCGGCTGGGGAACTTTCGATCTCGAACTTTTGCGCCGCCTCGGAACAACAGTATTGATGCGCCTGGTGCACTTCAGCTGTCCAATCGAGCTGAAATGCCCAGTTACTCAATGGCACAATAACAAAATATCTCAAGCGATATTCTTTAGGCAACATTAAATAAAAGTCACAGACAAAAAGGCCAATGAAAGTATAGGGGATCTCTTTTGTAGTAAGGTGTAAATGTGAAGGAAGCAGACAAAACGCATTTTGTTTATAGCGTGAGGCGCGTTGTTTGTAGGTGTCATGTTCGGTCCCTGCCAGCGGGAAGTTTTCTTTTCGTCCACCTTATTTTTTTTTTCATTTACAATATACCTACTGCAGTGATGGAAGTACTGCTGCAGTTGCTCCAAACTGCTCCAAAACCGAATCGCCGCTCCATGCTGCTCCGTACAGTAATTTTTGTTAGTAATTCCTCCAAACCTGTTCCGAAATGACACGTAGAGAAAGAAAATGACGAACTGTTACCGTTTCACAGACTCGTAAGTCCTAAAGAAACTGAGAATAATTTGTGTACTATCATACCAGCGGGCTACTTGTGTGCAGCACTATCGGCTCTGATCATATTTGTGCGACAAGAACTGGCATATTAAGCACATAGCTCACTTGGCTGTTTTTTTTTTCTCAGCTATACATGCAGGCTAATGTGGTGAAATGTGAAAGAGCATGATTGCTTTTATCTCATACTGATTATTTACTCCTTATTTGGCAACAGTTACATGCGACTGTGGTTACACCTAATATGTGGCGCTCAGTTCTTGTGGTTTTGATTTGATTTCTGCCACATATACTATTATTTTAAATGGTAGCTCATTTCACAGCACATTTTTGACAACCTTCCATTGTTGTTTGCCTGCCAGTGTCACAACGCAGAAACAGCAGCAGTTGAATGCCGGACAACTCACTTTCGTTATACCGGAACACTGACTGGCAAGCTGTTGTTGTTGTTGTTGTTGTTGTTATTGTTGTTGTTGTTGTTGTTGTTGTTGTTGTTGTTGTTGTTGTTGTTGTTGTTGTTGTTGTTGTTGTTGTTGTTGTTGTTGTTGTTGTTGTTGTTGTACACATCGGCGCTAGCTCTGTGCCAGTGAGAGAAAAGACGACGGTGTTCGTGTGTCGCGCTCTCGGCCTCCCGTTTTCTGTGCTGCAGCTGTCTTGCTTGCCCTGGCGAGTTTCTTGCGGAAACCCCTCCGAAGAACACGCTTGTTATATTTGGTGGAGCGCTGCTGGGTCGTTCCCATTTTCGTCTTGGAGCTCCGCAACCGGGCTTTACCATCTGCCCCCGCAATGGTCGAGGACGCCGCTCCTTCCCAAGCACCACCTACAGTCATGTATTCTGGGACGCTTTGTCAACATGACCATCCCATGTTCAGCGGCACCGACGAACTTGAGGTCCAAGACTGGCTGGTAGAGTTTGAGCATGTTAGCGGTCCCAACAAGTGGGATGACCCTACTAAGTTGACGCGCGTGAGTTTCTATCTGACTGATGTGGCGAAGCTATAGTACTACAACCATGAAGCCAAGTTCACTACCTGGTCAGCATTCAAGCAAATCATCCACTTCGTTCTTTAATCAGCCTGGATTGCGCAAGCTTCGCGCCGAACATCGCCTCCGTGGCAGAGCCCAAAGGAACTGTGAGACGTTTACGAGTTATATTGAGGGCGTCATCGATCTGTGTAAGCGCGTGAATGCATCTATGGCGGAGTCTGACAAAAAAGACACATACTGAAAGGCATGGATGACGATGAATTTCATATGCTGGCAGCCAAGTGCCCTCAGACAATAGCGCGAGTCATTGAACTGTGCCAAAGCTTTGACGAGCTGCGCAAAGAGCGCTTTTCTACCCGTCACGCCGGAATTCCCTAAGTGGAACTCTCATCTTTGGAAGTTAAGAGCACTGGCACTAAATATTCCACCTTACTGCCGCAAATTGAGCAATACATCCGTGAGGAAGTAGCTAGTCAGCTCTCTATAGTCACGTCTGTCACCGAGAGTCCCACGGCACTGGATCACTCGCTCCGTCGTGTCATTCAGGCTCAAGTTGCTGAGGTGGTTCCACCTCCTGTGCCACCAACGCAGCCTGCAGCGCCTCTCACCTATGCTGAGGCCATTACCCGTTCCTATGCTCGACTGACGTCAACACCATCCGCCCCTGTCGCCAACTTCTACTCGCAACTACGCCATGTTCACCCAATACGCCCTGTTCTCGCACAACCCCTCTCGCCTCCCAGACCACCTCCCAACCCTTGGCGCACTCCAGACAACAGGCCCATCTGCTACGCCTGCGGCATTCCTGGCCATGTTGCGCGTCACTGTCGTCGTCAAAGCAGTCTTCATGCCAACGATTACATCCCCAACCTCGACTACATGCCACAGCAGCCAGCACACCCTGTTTCCGCCGACTCATCGGGCGCTTATTCGCGCAGTGCCAGTTCCCTCTCTCGTCGATCTCCTCCTCCCCGGCGCCACTCCATTTCTCCTATTCTCCACCGTACCAACCCCACGTAAGAGGAAAACTAAGAGTCGCAGTTCCTGATGCATGAACTGCGCCCTCGTCAAAAATTTCAAGGCCTCATCTTTCGCCTCCGAACGGAATCGCGGTTATTATTGATGGTGTCGCAACGAACGCTCTTGTCGACACAGAAGCTGCCGTTTCTGTTTTAAGTGAATTTTCGTGCCGCAAACTGCAGAAAGTGACGAAACCCGTTTCTGATCTTTTATTACGGACGGTGATCTCGCAGCACGTTAAGCCTGTGGCGGCGTGCACGGCACGTCTTTTTATCAATGACGCATTCTACATTGTGGACTTCATTGTCCTACCACATGCGTCCCATGCCGTGATCCTCGGTTGGGACTTCCTTTCTACACATGATGCGGTCGTTGGTTGCGCTGGAGCTCGACTCACTTTGTCCTCTTTCAGTACCACAGTCGTCGACGTCCCGAGCCCGGTGCCTAAATTGGTTGTCGCTGCTGACGCTATCATTTCTCCGTTCTCTGCCACCCTGGTGTCCGTTTCTTCTGACTCTGTTTGCAATTTGACCGCCCTGTTTACACCGTCTGAAGACTGTGCATTCCGACGGAACCTCATACTCCCATTTGCCGTCGTTACCCTTGTGAATGTTACTGGTGTGGTCTACGCGTGCAATCCCTTTCCTTGCTCGGCAACTTTGTTACGCGGCAAATGTGTTGGGCATTTAGACAGTTTTGACGCCATCTTCCCTTTGGATGCAACGTGTGATAAGACACCGTTGACAATAAGTGCCGTCACTTCCGCCGCCGCAGCCACATCCCCTGTCTAAGACATCCTCCTGCGTAGCATCGATAACGCGCTTACGCCAGTCCAGCGCACCAAGGCTGTTCAACTGCTTGAACGCTTTCGTGCCTCTTTCGACGTTGGCCAGCCAGTATTGGGGCGCACGTCTGCAGTGGTTTATCGTATTGGCACTGGTCATCAAGCTCCCCTGCGACAGCGTCCCTTCCGAGTATCGCAGGCGTTATTAGCGACAACGTCAATGACATGCTGAAACGTCGCGTGATTCAGGAAGCGAACAGTCTCTGGGCCTCTCCTGTCGTGCTGGTGCGGAAAAAAGATGGTTCGATAAGATTTTGCGTTGACTACCGCCGCCTAAACAAGATTACGCGGAAGCATGTTTATACTTTACCCCGCAAAGACGACGCCCTAGACTGCCTTCAAGGAGTCAAATATTTCTCATCACTGTATCTGCGCTCAGGCTACTAGCCCATGGCTGAAGCCGACCGTCCGAAACAGCGTTCATCACCCCTGATGGTTTATACGAATTTAACGTAATGCCTTTTGGCCTTTGCAACGCGCCTGCTACCTTCGAAAGGATGATGGACACCATTTTCAGGGGCCTCAAATGGTAGACCTGTTTATGCTACTTAGATGACATAGTGTTTTTTTCTTCAGATTTCCCGTCTCATATCGCTCGCCTTGAACAAGTTCTCGAGTGCCTCACTAACGCCGGCTTGCAGTTCAACCTAAAGAATTGTCATTTTGGCACTCGTCAGCTTACCATCCTAGGCCAGGTCATCTCCAAATAAGGAATTCCGCCAGATCCTGCCAAACTTCGAGCGGTTGCCGAATATCCCAAGCCCAGCACTCTAAAAGAACTTAAAGCTTTATTGGGCTGTGTTCATATTTTCGGCGCTTCATCCGCAATTTCGCATCCCTTATATCCCCCTTGACACAGCTTCTCGCCGGCAGCAACGACCTCTCAGCTTGGGATGCCGATTGCGATGAGTCATTTACGACGCTTCGCCTACTCCTCACGTCTCCTTCAATTCTGCGACACTATGATCCCAACGCGCCCACAGAAATACACACGGACGGTAGCGGTGTCGGCCTTGGCGCGGTACTCGCTCAGCGAAAACCAGGCCTTGGCGAGTACGTTGTAGCATATGGCAGTCGTACCCTCACAAAGACGGAGTCAAATTACTTCGTCACAGAAAAGGAGTGTTTGGCAATGGTTTGGGCAATCGGCATATTTCGCACCTACCTCTATATGTGTCAGTTTGATGTTGTTACCGACCACCACGCGCTATGCTGGCTGTCGTCCTTGAAAGACCCGACTGGACGCCTGGCTCGCTGAGCTTTACGATTCAAGGAGTATGATATACGCGTGATTTATCACTCTGGACGAAAACACTCGGACGCTGACGCCCTATCTCGATCGCCACTGCCACCCCGCCGCGGTGGTCTAGTGGCTAAGGTACTCGGCTGCTGACCCGCAGGTCGCGGGTCGAATCCCGGCTGCGGCGGCTGCATTTCCGATGGACGCGGAAATGTTGTAGGCCCGTGTGCTCAGATTTAGGTGCACATTAAAAACCCCACGTGATCAAAATTTCCGGAGCCCTCCACTACGGCGTCTCTCATAATCATATGGTGGTTTTGGGACGTTA